GGCCTTGTGAGATTGAAAAGTGCTCCTTCTCTGCTCTGGGCCTTCCTGCCTGTTCATGACTGGAAATTAGTGTGTTTATTTATTTTTATTGCCTGCTTAGTTTTTAAGAGCTTTATCTCAGGTCACTTTAGAATACTTCCTTAGTCATCAAGCTGTCAACATTTTATTTTGCGAATATAAGGGTCACTGTTAAGAGCTTTTAGAAAAGATCTCAGTTGAGCACCTTCATTGTTTAGGGAAGCCACTAGTGTTTCAGTCCTGATTATTTGGCGTAATCATACTGCTCCTGCAGATGGCTTGGGAAATTCTGGACTGTTTAAGTGTCAGTCTGTTTTCAGCACCTTAAGCATATTGTTCCAAGCTATAGAAACCTAGACAAGAAGTGTGACCAAGCAGAAACTAGCGGTTTGTACTTCACCTTCAAGTGAGAAGTGAGAGTGGACAGGGAAGGACAGTGGGATCCTGGGGCACAATATTTGAAAACGGCCAGTGGAGAAAAGGAGCAAACTCTGAAGAAGACAGTGAGAGACCCCAGAGAGGAGAGTGGGGAAGAAGGAATGCACACTGTGGTGGGAGCCAAGGATGGAATGGACCTTACTGAAGGGCTGGACTTCTCATATTCAATGTCAAGGACTTGGGAGACATTTGTGGCACTGTTAGAATGATAGAAATGGATGCTCAATTGCTTGAAGTATTCATGAAAAAGGAGGAAACAGAGTTGGGGCAAGGATCCATTCCTTCCAGTATTTTGATTGTTTAGAAAATTAAAAAGAGGGAGTGGATTGCACCCCGGGGTTCACAGTTGGTTCAAAGGTGAGAGAAAAACTTGCTGCTTGGAGGTGAAGGAAAGGATGAAGACAAAGAGAGTGTTGGAGGAAGTGGTGTTCTGGCATAAAAACTGCCTGGGCTCCAAAACAAAATGAATTGGTTTGATTTGGAATTCTGCTATCTCCTAGCACAGAACCTTGGTAAAGTTACTTAAGTTTTTGTTTTCATCTGTGAAACAGTCCCATTGGTATATTACCTGATCATGTTGTTATAAGAAAGACAGACTGGGTGTGTGACGTGCCTTTCACAAACTAGGTACTTCCACTTAGTTTAGTTCTGTGGTTTCTCAAACTTTACTGTACATACCTTCTATTATGAATGTTTCAGACACATACAAAAGTAGAAAGAATAGTGTGCCTGCCTTGTAGCTTGACCAGCTCCCAAATCTGGGCATGTATTATTGTTCTGTATTTCATACTTCCTCTTTAAAATTGTTATTAAATGTCTACTTCACATTTCCCTAGTTGCTGTATCAATATTTCTTTCTCCAGTTCTGCACTCTGTGACAGTTTAGTATGCCTCTTTCTATGAACAAGTGCTGCCCCCTCTTTCTCCCTCACATTTTGCTGTTGTTGCTGTCACTTTGAGTTTTCCATATTTCTATGCACTGCCCTCCCATGGAGTCATTTAACACATTGCACTGCTCCTCATGGTTCTGTAAATTGGTCGTTAGATTTAAAGGCCTGATCAGTATGAAGCTTGATTGTTTTGGCAAAGCTTGGACTTCTAAGACAACATTGTGCAGACATGAATGTCTTCTTATGAATTTTTAGATATGCGTGATCTGTTAATTCACCTTGGCACTTCAAATATTATTTCAAATATATTTCTTAACATTTGACCTATTATGGATGAAAACACCCTCAAAAGCAGTCAAAACACATAGAATATTTATTGCAAAGTAAAAGCTATTTTTTTAATTCAAAAAATATTGATTGACATCTCTACCCTCTGCCAAGTGTGGCTCTTAGTGCTAAGGACAGAGTGGTGTAAAATGTCTACCTGTAGGAAGTCTTGGGTTTGGGAAGCTGGCCACAAAGAGACACCGAGGTTTCTGACAGTGGTGGGTGATTTTGCAGTGCTGCTCAAACTGCATGCAGGGCAAATGGCCAGTGAGGGTACTGGAGGTGGCCCATCCCACTGGGGCCAGTGGCAGGATGACCAAGTGCACCCAGGAGTATCTGAGATCCAGGGACTGAGTATTGCACTGAAGTAATTTTTACATATGATCGGTTATCATGCCAGAAAAAAATAACATGCAAGGCATAGAATATTTCATGATGATACAATATGAAAACAATACTATTTTATGTTTATTCTAAGAATTAATACATAGCTAAAGATAACTATGGAATGAGTTGGTTCTCATTGATTTTGTGTGTGTTTTAGGATTTGATTAGATTCCAACTTTTTTCTTCCTTATTATCTATGACAGTTTGGCTCCTGAATGAAATGGATTCACCCTTGTCAGTGGATTCTCAGTGTGTCAGGATGATGGGATCCTCTTGTTTGTGCTGGGTCTTTCTGTGTCATTTTGGGTGGTCTTTCATGCAGCCACAAAGAAGGATTGGATAATCTGAGCAGCCACAAGCAAGGCAAGAGCAAGGCAGATTCTGCAGATTTCCTGCTTGGTTTTCATCTGATACCAGGAAAGGTTATTGGGGAGCTACTCTGTGCTTCTGAGCCAGCTGCCTGTGGGGCTGGTGACCGAGTTCTTTCAATTCTAGTCTGAGTGTAGGGACAGGTGTTCTGGATTTTTCCACTGAGCCTGTGCTGTAACTTCCTTGCACTCTGATTTCCCAAAGATACCTCCACTGTGACCAGAGTCCCGGTTATTGATCACTGGAGAGTCTCTCCTCTGCTTCCTGGATTTGTTCTCTATGAAAACATGCATTTTCTAAGACAGGACCCCAGTTTTATGTCTGAGTCTACAAGTGCATGGGGTTTCTTCCTGGGAGACAGATAAAGAAAGCTCCTGAAATAGGAAGAGGGAAGTATTCAGAGAGAAGAAGAAAAGCCAGGTGTGGGTGTGAGCTCTGAAGACAACACTACAACAGTACCAAGGGCTCATTGGCTTCTTACTCAGAAGATCCAGAATGGCTTGAGTAAAAATTCTTCATTTCTTTGATGTTCTCAACACGGTGTGTGAGGATCTGATTTTAGCTGATTTAAATTTTCCCTCATGTCTTCTTTTTCCTCACATCTCTCTTTCTCTCTCTTAATTTTTATTTTAATTTCCTTTGAGCTTTGATTTTCTTGTCATTTTTCCCCATTTCATATGAATGTCCTTCCCTCTCTTGTGTTGGCTTATGATTTAAGAGATGAAAGTTCTCTGTGCTCTTGTTATGGGTAACATGTTAGCTCTGGTAAGCAGTTGACTGGTTACAGACTGAGAAACTGGAGCTCTGTGGCTTTTCTTTACAAAAGGTTTAGACCCTGGAACCACTTGCTGCAGCTAGCTTTCTATAGGGATTAAACTATTATAGAAATAGGGTTCTAATTTAATGTAGAAAACAAATTTTAGTGTATTTTAGGTGTACTTTCTTTCTTTTTCAAATATGCTATCTCCTTTTCTTTTTTCCTTCCTTCTTTTCTTTTTTTTTTTTGTGATTAGTGTCATTGTAAGCCTGGTCAACTTGAACACAATCATGGGGTAGATTAATGACAACCTGCTTCCACTTTTTTTTCATCTCACCTGTTGCCTATATGCTCTGTGACATCATCACTGCCAAACCTTGGTCTCTCTATAGACAGCAGGACAGAGACTTTCTTTGGAGTTGTAAGGCTTTTGTATGAAGGCAGGAATTTCTGATGAACAGATCCACCAGACTGTCCTGATTTTGAGAAATAATTCCAGAAGTTTATCCTTTACATTAGGCTTACAAATTTTTGGATGCTATGACATTCTTAAAAATTATTGAGGATCCCCAAAGAGCATTTGCTTATGTAGACTACATTTACTCATATTTTCTGTATTAGAGAGGAACACTGTACTTTAAACACAAGAATTTTCAAGCAGTCATCCCCATGAGCTGTCAGAGCTTCTGGAAGCATCTACTATATTTGTGAAAGATCAAGAGTGAAAAGGTTGAGTACATCTTCACATTACTCTGAAAATAGGTTTGACCTTGTATATCTCCAAAAAGGATATAGGGATTCTCTGTGGTTCCAGGACAAAACATAAAAGTGCTATTAGATATTTGATGATAATTACTGAGTACTTCAGGTGGAAACTCCAGACATGGTGGCGGGAGGGTGGGAGAATATTGTTAGAATTTTTTGGCATCAGAAATTCATACTACAGGTGGATCTTTACCTATGCATAAGAAAAAAATGTGTTTATGTATATATCCAACGAAGAATGACCTAATTTTCTTTTTATGGGCATTAAAATCTTAGTCTGCATGACTACAATGTGGAAATTTGATACTCGAAGTCAGAGCATGAGTCACAAGTTCAACAGTTTTGTAAAACTCAGACTCTTGATATGATCACTACCAAGAAAAAGCACCAGGGTTTTAGTTATGTTTCTTGTTATCTGGTTAACCAAGAAACCCTAAAAGACTATGTGTGAAACATCATATCCTCTCTTCTGCGTGTTGACCAGCCTTTAAGAAATTCTTTTTCCAAGGTTAGTTCAAGAACAATTAATTTAGAAGGTAACACACATGTACAGGAAAGCAAAGCGAGTCAACTCCCTGTATAGCTGTCCTTATCTCAGCTAGCAAAAACCCTTCTTCCTTCCTATTACTGCTTATACTCTCTCTTCAACAAAAGTAGAGATAAGGACAAAATAGTTTCTGCCTGGTAGTGAGGAGGTGGGGGGAAGAGTGAAGGGGGTGCGGGGGAAGGGGGCAGAAATGACCCAAACATTGTATGCACATATGAATAAAAAAAAGAAATTCCTTTTCCAGAATAATATAGATGGTATGAATTTGATCGAAGTATATTATGTGCATGTATGTAAATATCACAATGAAACACCTTTGTACAATTACTTCACATTAATAAAATATTTAAAAATTCCTTTCTCTTATAAAAAAAGTATAAAGCATTTATACTTAATGAAACTAGTTAATATCAGCAATCATTTCAATAGAAGTTTCTGGGTAGTCTCCACTTCTGTGTCCAAAAATTCTGCCACCTGTGTAACACTTGCTTCTTTTTTTCAGATAGTTTTGAGATAGCTGCATCATTGAATGGACCCATGCGCCCCATCACCTCAGAAATTGGACAAAATGTCACACTCACCTACCTGATTCAAATGAAGGGACCAGTGCAACAAGTCACATGGGAAAAGATACAGGCCCATCAGATAGACATCTTAACTTGCTGCAACTTGTCCCAAGGGAGAACTTACACCTCCAAGTACCAAAGACAAGTGTGGAGCAACTGCAGCCAAGGAATCAGGGTGAGCCACCTGGTCATTCCCCACGCCACAGCCTCTGATTCAGGAGTTTACCGCTGCTGTGTCAAGGACAGCACAGGAGAAAGTGAAACCTTCATGATGAGACTGACCTTAATCGAAGGTGAGTCAGTAGTGGATGTTTACAGGTGTTGACAGTGGGAAATGTCAACAACTGTGGATTGGTCTCTGACACTGTTTTTTATTATTCATTCATTTAATGTGACTCTATTGTTTGACAGTTTTAATTGTTGAATTTAGGTATATTGGACATAACTAAATTTTAGGATTTAGTATTTCTTTACCTGGCTAATCCGTCCATCAAAAATGTAACAATAAAAATATTTGTTGTTTTCTTAACTGCTACATTTCTGAAATTAAAAATAAAACCCATGGCATTATCAGATTATTATATATTGTGTAGCTACATAACTCCTGCCTCCCTAATTATATTAAATTTTTGATGGAGGTGACAGGTGACAGAAATTTTGGTCCTCAGGTACTCCTAGCAATAACAAGGCAGTGCTGGACTAGTGTGTGCTCAGTCTTCAGTTGACTGAAACTCAAAAGCTGTTTGATAATGTGGTTGCCAGTTTTCCAGATCAGAGCCCTGTTTCCTCAGTCACTTTCAGGTCTGGGCACAGAGCAGACTGACCTTGAAGCTAATGAAGCCGACCTTCAGGGTTTCCATCTGAGTTGTCCCTTTAGAAGAGGATGTATTCATTTTGTATTTGTAATTTGTCTCCTTTGCCACAATGAAGCCCTAAATTATGTAAACATCAGGCCAATAAAACCTGAATCTATTAAAGTATTAGAGTGAGAAGAAGGAACTTTTTCCACTTACGGAAATGTGAATTTAGGGAGACCTATCTAGAAGTCTGTATGGTGGCCTGTATTACAGGAAGAAGTAGGTAAAGGAAGGCAGTCACAGGCTGCCCTAGTTTTGCCTTTGGGCTGCTTTCTCACTGCTGAGGAGCATAACCAACAAGAGACTTTATAGAAAATTCTTACAGTATATAGTAAAACCAGTAATAGAAGTTTACTTTATTATATTTTCACTCTCTCCTTCCTTCCCTTCCTCCTACTCACTCTCTCTCCCTCTCTCCCTCCCTCCCTTTTATCCTTCTCTTCCTTCCATCCTTCTGTCCTTCCCTCCCCTTCATCCTTCCTTCCTTCCCTGGTATGCTTTCAGCTTCTTCATTTACCTTGACCCCTATTTAAAATTTAGAGACAAGGTAACCTATCCTGTGACTGCCCCTTCATGGTATCTGCTTATATTGGGGACGGTTAGTTCTTCCTGTACTGGAAAGGAAGAAGAAAACATTTATAGCACAGCAGACTCTGCCTCTGCTGCTGTCCTTGTCACCCCTGGAGCTGGATGTAATAAGAAAGGCCAGTGCTAGAGGACTGCAGGTTTTCATAGGCAATCACCTAGAACCACAACAAGCCCTCTGTGTCCCTCTCAATGACAGCAGGGGCCAGCTGTGGGTAAGAGGTGTGCACTGGACTTAAAACTTAAGGTCAGAGAGTGATTGGCAGACCACTTTGAGAGGGAAAATTAGCAGACATACATTATTTACATGTTGATTGCATTCCTGCAGACATAGGCAGGAAACATTTCTTACCTAAAAAATGTTGCATTCTGTTTTCTAAAAGAAAAAAAAGTAAGAACAGACACTAACCTTTTCTTAAAAACCAAGGCAAAAAACCATTCTATTCAGAAAATGTCATAAGGACTCATTTTCAAATACGTGTGAAATAAGGTCTTGTCCACTATAATGTATAAGAGTAATTCCAAACCTGTTAAATCATGGAGAAAATGAAGGTAATACATTTGTAGAAAGTACAGTTATTTCACTTTTACTAATTAATAAAAATTTCTTCATGCATTCAAGCATGACTTTATTGCACAAAAGTATTCTTTGCATACAAATTATGAACAATGTTAAAAATCTGCCAAAGAAATGAAGGTGACAATGCAATGATAGGTATTGTTAGTACCCCATGAGTTTTGAACCATTGCAAAATGGCTTTTTGACATTTGATTGACTGATTGAAAGAATATCAGTTGAACTTTATACACATTAGTAAAAATCATAATTGATGGAAGATGACAGTCATTCACTGTATATTTTGGCTTAATTCATTTTTCAGTTATTATATTTAAAGATTGAATCTAAAAAAATCAGACAGAAAGAAAGATAGATCATTTGTGTTTTCTCTGGTGCAATTTGATTATTTTGAGTCCTGAGGCTGTCTGGTCAAAAATCAATGTAGAGATTAAAGCAGAGAGACGGGTAGAAGATGTGAGGCAGATTTAATTTATTTCAACTGTCAAGGGAAAGGTGATTGTGACACAAATTTTATAAACTGCTGTACATCCCTTTGTTAGTTCCCGTCAACTTCCTTTCTAGGACATACTATTGGATTCCAAAGAGATATATTCTTCAATTTACATACACACACACACACACACACACAACACACACGCACATCCCTTTTTCCCTGACTATTTTTCTGCCTATGTTCGTCTGCTGACAAGAATCACTCAGTCAGAGGTCACCCAAAAGACTTTTGTATAATCCCCAACCAATAACTGTATAATTGCCAGCCAATTTATCATATGTATTTTAAACAGAGGAAGAAAATGGCAGAAACATGTTGACTTGCCATTGACTTTCTTTGCTGAATGAGAAGAAATGTTTGTCTTCTTTCCTTTTACACTTATGACTTCACAAGTTGTATGAAATAGTTCTGGGATGACATCTTTGAATTTGTAACTTCAACACAAGGGCAAGGAGCAGGAAAAAAATGTATGTTTATTAATAGTCACCAAAATTAATTTTGGTCTTCAAGATCCTCCAGATTTTCATTAGTCATGAGAGAATACTTTTAGCTGCCACCAAAAGAAATTCTGAAGTCTTTTTAATATTAACTAAATGATATGCAGACTCTTATTGTTTAATATGAGCTTATTAATAATAAAATCAATGAGAATTATATAAATGAAATTTGCTCTTGAAGAAAATTCTTGAAGGAGACTAGTTTTGCATGAACTTGGGTTTGCTACCGATTGCTGTTCTTACTCATGTCCTTCTACAGTCTTCTTCCATCAACAAGGCTTCTTGATGTCAATGATTAGAACTGAGGAATGAGGACAAAACAGGTTAAGGAGAGGAATGTGCACTTTGCCCCAGGGAATAAAAAGTAGGGGCAAGTGATTGCAATCAAAAGACTAAGTTGGTATAGAGTTTGAGCTATGAATTAATATAGAATGAGGTAGTTTAAATAAAATATTTTAGCACAATTCCACATCTTGTATAATAGGCAAAGAAAGCCACTATTGGTTCCTGAGCAAAGATGGAAAAATAGGATTTAAGGAAGAGTAGGTAGTTTCTAATTTTCAGTGTATATCTTTAACCTCTGGCTACATTTATTCCTAAATTTTCTTGGTGCTCTTATGAATGGGATTATTTTCTTAATTCCTTCTTTTTGCATTATTTCCTATGAACAGAAATATGACTGATTTTCTGTATATTGATTCAGTATCTTTGTGTATGAAACTATAGTCTTTCAGGGGTTTTATATATATATGATCAGGTCATCTGCAAATGGATAATTTTATTCCTTCCTTTCCTTTTGAATGCCATTTTTCATGTCTAATGGCTGTGGCTAGGGATTTTTATGCAATGTTGTGTAGAGTGGTGAGAGTGGGGATCCTTGTTGAGAGTTTTCATCATGACAGATGCTCATTCGGACACATGCTTTTTATAGTTCCTTTAAGATGATCATGTGGTCTTTTTGTATCATTTTGTTAATGTAGTGTATTATATTGTTGGATTTGCATGTGTTGAAACACATCCCAGGGATAAATACTACTTGATTATGGTGTGTGATTCTTTTCATGGTTGTTGAGTTGAGTTTGCTGGAATTTGATTGGTGATCTTTTCATACATATTCATTAGGAATATTTGTCACTAGTTCTCTTTTCTTGTGGTATTTTCTGGTTTGGGTATCAGAGTGATACTGTTCTCATGAGTTTAGAAGTGTTCCTTCTAGTTTTTGGAAAGTTTAAGAAGGGTTGTTGGTATTAATTCTGCTTTGAATGTTTAGTTTAATTCATCTGTGAAACTATCTGGCCCTGGTATTGGTGATGGACCATAGGCCCTAGACCATGTGGCCTGTATAAGGGAGAGGGATGCCAATATACTATGAACCTCAGCTGTTGCTTGACACCTGCTTGACACAGCTATTCACACAGTCCTACTTTCTCTTTTTTCTAACAACCTTCTGTTTTCACCATGTTTACCTCCTTTCCTATAGCACTTCAATGAGGTCTCATTGTCTTCATGTTTTGTCCACATTGTCCCAAGCTACTTCCCTGTCCTTAAATAAGCAAATGAAAAGGATGCATGGAGCAAAAACAGAAGAATGGACTGATAGCCCAGAAGAAAAGCAAGTACTTAGTATAATCCACATTAATGTATAAACATTTTAAGCACCATAAAGTTTTATCAGTTCAGGAATGGTAGAAGGACACCATAAATCCAAGTTCCTACATGCCAGCTGTTGTGGTTAGGATATGAAGAGTCCTCCCCAAAATGCTCATGTGTTGAAGGCTTGGTTCTCAGCTGGTAGCTTTATGGACAGGTGAATAGGTTAATCCATTGAAGAATTCATAGCTGAATGGACCATTTGGAGGTGGGGCTTGGTTTCAGTAAGCAGGTCACGAGGGGCTAGCTTTAAAGGTTTTCTTGTTCCCAGACCTGTCTCTTTGCTTTCTGGCTACCATGAGGTGTGCAGCTTTCCTCCACAATGCCCTTCCACCATGATGTTCTGCCTTACCACAGGCCCAGACTCAATGAAGCCAAGTGACCATGGACTGAAACCTTTCCTCCTTCAAGTTGTTTTTGTCAGGTATTTTATCACAACAATGGAAACTTACACACTAGCCAAGGGCCAACCTTGCAGATAGGCTGTTTTAAAGGTAGCAATTAACTCTTTCTGCACACTAATTCACTACAGAGTGAGCACAATCTATGCAATTTGTGTCATTCCACTAATTTAGTATGCATTTAAATAATGTGTATTTGCAATAATTAAGATAAGTGTGCAAGAGGTATA